AGGTTAAACCTATGTAGCGGGTTGACACCTGCCCTTTTAATTTTATTTTATTTTTAATTAATTTATTTATTTATTAAAATTAAAAATATTATTATTATAAATAAATTTAAAAAAAACAACCACCAGTTTTTCGCGCCGAACAATCGGTGGCTATCGGACAGAGGAAGACGGCCACAGCCGTCTAAGGAAGACGGCCATGACCGTCTTCTAGATTTGGAACGAGGGCGGCGACCAAGCCTTCATCGGCCAGGGCCGTCCTGCCGGACAACCACGGCTGTCCGTGAAGAAGACAGCCACCGGCTGTCCGACGCGGACAACCAGTGGCTATTTTTATTTTTTATTTTTTTTATATAATTATAATAACTAATGTTTTTAATTTTAGTAAATAAAAAAAACATTTTAAAAAAAATAAAATAAAAAGGACACGTGTCAACGCCGCATAGGTTTAACCTGATAAACAAGTCAATTTGGACTTGATTGAACAATTTTACTGGTTTAGGGGACTTGAATGAAGTTTTTTTTTTTGTTTTTTTTTTTTTCTATTACAAGGTAATATGTGTTATATACTTTCTTTAACTAGTGCAGCTTAAAGAGTCAATACCCCATCACCAAGGTTCGATCCTGTGACATTCCCTCAAGGGGAACCACAGAGGTGTCATCTGAGTAAAGGGTACTTGGCAAGCCTTCTTTATTTAGTTGAGCAAGAAAGTTTATTAGTTATGTTAGAGAATGAATTTAATTTTATTGTATTAAATTCTAATATATAGTTATAAATTTTTATTTGTGATTGGTTTATCTAATTAATATTACCATGTCCCCGAAGGGATTAAAGGGGTGTTTGATAAATAACTGTTAGTTGATTGGGTTAGTGAATTTGACTAATTGATAACATTAGCTGATTGTAAATTAGCTGATAACTGATTAAATGTAAAATTATTTTCTCAAAAAGCTTATCGAAAAAGCTGTTTTGAATAGTTTTTTGAATTTTTGTATTTTGGAGTGATAAGTCATTACAAAAATACTAATTAATCAAGCACTCATATTGATATTTAACCAAGTCAAACAACTAATACTTACCAAATAAGTTAAAATTAACTAATAAGTTAACTATGTTACCAAACAAGGTGCATTCAAAAAAAATAAAAATGTTACCAAACAAGGTCAAAATTGAAAACGCAGAACCCATGCCCGGTAGTCAATACTCAATAGTGGGAATGGGATTGGAAATGTGATACTTCGTTGGGCGAAGTTTCGTATTGTTCAGACATGCTTGTACACTTGTACGTATTATTATTTATTATCTATTTATATTTTAACAAGTAACATTATATTACATTTATTGTTACTTTTGACCTTTAAAAGAAAAAAACCCTGATATGTCCAGATTGATTAAGAAATATAGTAGTGGATCCCGTGTTATTACTTTACTATTTTATCTGACCATTTTATATATTAGACAATCTGTCAAACGGAAAAAGCTTCATCTGGCTGGCGCCGTCCCATTATACTATTTCATTAGATAAAAAATTTGACACATGGTCAATATATAAGTGTTATATATTAGTGGTGAACTATAACATGACATACCATTATAAAAGAAAAAAAAAGTGACAAATAAACTTTTAATTGTCAATACGATAGTGGACAAATTATACTATGGACCATGACTCAAATTGTGAATAATTGATAAATGTTTTTTTTTAATATACTGAAGATTCATTTTTATTACGTTGAATGTTCATTTTTCAAGTAATACACTAAAAATGAATCTTTAATATATTAAAAATAAATTGTATGTTTTAGTCCACCTTGTAAGGTAGATCATAATCCATGACATAATGATTGCAATAGTTATATCATGAACTAGGATGCACGTAGTAAAATGCACTCAAACACATCCCTATTTTTTTCTTTATGCATTTCTTTCAACTTAAATTTATTTTAATCTTTTTCTCTTTATACAAATAAAATTATGTTGAGAGAATATCTAGAATAGAGATAAGGGATAGAATGAGGATCATTTTCTTATTCGTCATCATAGTACAATGATGATATATATACAAGATACAATAAAGACATACAATAATGAAGAATAATTACATCCGTTACAGACGTTACAAAGCTATTATTAATGTCCACCATAACTCTATTTATAATACTTTTCCTTGGACATTATTTGACCATGATCTTGCCTCGTTAAAAACTTGCTAGGAAAACTTTGTGGGAAAAACCTAGACAAGAAAAGAGTATAATAGATAATATATTTAAATATATTCATGCCTCATTTAAAAATTTCACTAGGAAAATCACGTGGGGAAAAACCTAGTTGAAGAAAATAGTACATGATATATGTAAAAACATATATTGTATTGGCCGCCTCATTAAAAACCTTAACTTAAGAAAAACCCTGTGGGAAAAAAACTTACTTAAGGGAAAAATAGTATAATCATAAGCCTTCAAGGCATAATCGGCATAATCTTTAGGATTTTTGGAGTTTGTCTACTTAAGCAACTATTTTGCAACATTTCCCAATTGTCATTACTATATCATACTCATGCCTCGTTAAAAACCTCACTAGAAAACCCAGTGGAAAAAACTAGTTGAGGAAAAAAGAGTGCATGATGTATGTGTATTCTTGTTTTAGATTAGCTGCCTCATTAAAAACCTTAGATTTAAGGAAAAACCTTGTGGGAAAAAACTTAACTAAGGAAAAGAGTACAACTGTTAGTCGTCAAGACCCAATCTTCAGGATTGATTCATGTAAAATGATACTTCCTCTCAAGATAACAATCTTTAAGTCTCATACATTAAATTTCCAAAATGTATAGAGGAATTTTGTAAATAAATATGTACAACTGTCAATGGAATGAATATACTCTATAATAATCTCGTGACTCTTCTGGAGTTCACGTGAGTATAATATTGACATCATAATATCTAGTCAAAGAGATTTCATTATATATCATTTTATCTTTTGTCCAACTCAATCTTTATTCTCCCTTTATAGAACAATGAGGGTAAATATAGTACAACCAGTTTTGAAACTTGGCATTATGGGGATACAAAAATAATAGCCAGTACCCAATTAAGTAGCCATTATATATTGGTTTGTCTAAGGGTCAAATCAAAATCATATATTGGCTAACTGGTGTATAAAAATTCGATCTTCAAGTCGAGATAATACTTAGCTTTCACAAGTTTTTTATTTTGAAATCTCCATCTTTAGACATGGACTGACATCATCAAGCTCTTTATATATTTCATTGATGTTTACACCATCAATATTGACTGAGATAATAAATAATAAATAAGTTCATTATCAACTCTTTATTGAGCACATAATGGTACATATTATTCCTTCTTCATGAGGATAATAACTCCATTCGCAACTCTTTAAAGAGTACATAATGACACATAATAAATGCATCTTCGTTCTTCAAGAGGAAAAATAACCCAGTCAATTATTAACTTTTCAGGTCATATAAAGACCTTAATATTTTTAATGTTGCAATTTTCACTTTTTCTAATTTTGAGAACTTAAAATCCTTCAGGGACTTTTGAAAAATTAATATTAGTTGCACATTTAAGTTTACTATTTTGCTAATAATATTATGTAGTGGAACTTAATGACATTTACCGTGGGAGAATATATTTGATTAGAATCAATCAAGGGTATTTGTGTGAACCCATAGGCTACAAACTCGCTTTATATCCTATCACCTCGTTATTCTTATTTCTCTTTTGTGCACACACCCATTTGTAACCTTCGGGGTTAACACTCAATGGTGCATTGTTATAAAGAGAATATATATATTTTAGCGAGTTGAGCTATGCCTTAATTACTCCTTTATACGTTAAATAGTCATGACACTTTCGGTGCCTAACTCTGGATCCAGATTATCATATAATGGAGTAATTTGTAAAGGCAATTGTGTTGTCGACAACTATAATACTTTCATAAATCTCTCCTATATTTATAATTGTTTATGGCAATATTTGAGTCAACCAGATTCTATACATTTCCCAAAACTATTTAGATCACATCTGGTTATCCCGCATCCCTAGTATTATGTTTGTTTGGTGCACCTATGAATTGACTAGGGTTTCTCGTCATCTGGACGAGTGTCTCCAGGACTAAATTATTCAAGATTTTCCATGACAATGTTTATTTACTAGATCTAGTATAATGATTCTTATCTCTTATACCGATGGATCTCCTATACTTCTGGCGTCAAGGAGTATCAGTCGATTTAATAAGCAATATTACTGGTATATTGCATTATGCTCAAAATTTGAGAACTTCTATTTGCTCAAATTTGCTTTGTAGCTATGTGAACCATACAACAGAGAGAGTTTGCTGTTTTTCTCTTGTTGGTAACAATTATTCGCTATAGGCCATAACTGCTACAACATGAAGTAAACTTTTAGGACAAATATTGTTAAAAGCATAGTATGTGGTATCTTATTATTGAGTTTTAAACCACAAAATTCTGACATGGTTCTGATTTATTTTGGGGACATCTGTTTTGATATACTGATATACTATACTCCAAATCTGATTCACTGCATATCACAAATCAATCCCTCAAGAATTGCTATACCCCATTTTTCACCTAGTACGTGATTTCGGAATTTTCCTATTTGTGTCATTATTTTTAGTGCGCAGTCTATTTTTATATATCACCACCACAACGTACCTCTAAAAGTGCTATCAAAGAAACCTCCGTCTATCGATTAAATACCAAAAGCCCATTATAGGGGATCAATACATATAATTGGGTACGTTGACTGCATTCCCAACGAAGATTATTTCTTGGCATTAGGGGGAGATAATATACTAACTTTTAATGGAATGCCAAGAAATTTCATAGAATGAAAATATCTTCATTATTTAAATCCATGTACTAGTTAGATTGAACCAAAAGTTCAAAAGATATCAATTTGCTATTTTAGCAAATAATCTGCCAAATATATCTATTGATAATACTAATCATAAAAAGAAGAGTTAATTCCAGCAATGGTCCCCCGAGTATGTTGATTTTCCACATTTAGTTCCCGTCTTTTAATTTGGACAATTTAACCATCTGACTATTAAATTTTTTCTAATTGAGGTCCTTCCGTCAAGTGCGGGTTAAGTGGTGTCAATTCGAGGGATAAAATCATCCTTTTCTTACCCAACGTATAAATCCTCTTCGTTCCCATTATGTATGCGAAATAAATACACATACAATTTCTGTTCTCCAAATTCTTGATATTCAACCAAATTTTGGGCATGGATTTTCTTAAATCAGCTCAGATAACCCAAATTCGTAAGTTTTTTTTTTTTTTTTTTTGGTTGATTTCTCACCCAATTTCTAGGGTTGTTTAGTCAACCCGACCCTCGTCGAGAACGTGTAATTGAGCCAACTGGGTGAGTCCGAACCCAGTCGTTATATTATAGACCGCGGTGCATGTGCACCGCGATAAAAAACGGCGCCGTTTCTTTAAGTAAAGAAACGGCCCGTCGTTAGAGAGTTAACGGAGTCCGCTTGTTTGGTGTATTAAATACCAACTGACACTAGTATATCTAAACCGACACTGCAGTTATATCAAAATGATACTGTAGTTATAGTGAAATGAAACTGCAGTGTATATAAAATGAAACTGAATAACATTTCACATATTTGAGTGTATATTGTACAATGAAGCTGTAATTATATCAAAATGATCATGTAGTTGTGTTTTAATGAAACTATAGTGTATATAAAATAAAATTAAATAACATTTTCACATATTTGAGTCTATAAATATCAAATGAAACTATAGTTATATCGAAATGAAACTGTAGTTGTGTTGAACTGAAACTGCAGTGTATACAAAATGACACTGAATAACAGAGTTACTTTTTGCAAAAGGGTGCGAAACGGCGGAAACAAACACTGTTTATTTTCATTTAAAAAAAAAGATGCGCGGTGCATAATCTTTAAAAAAAAAGACGCGCGGTGCATAATCGATTATGTACTGCGGTGCATAATATAATTTGCCGTCCGAACCGTACAAAACTTGGTTAGAAAGCAATATGGATCCTCAAAAGGAGGCTCTACTGTGTCAACTCACCGAGTTAATCTCGGCCATTTCGTCGTTGCCCGAGTGCCAGACAGTCTCCAAAAAGATGTGCAGTAATTTGGTGCGCAGGGTGAAGCTTTGAGTCCTCTGTTTAAGGATTTGAAGGATAGTGATGAGGGAGATAAGCTCGGAGATGACGTCGTTTACGGGCTTGAGTTGGAACTGCTGCAAAGGAATTATTTAAATCAAAAGACTTTGTAAATTGAGAAAGAAAAATTAGGAAAATTACGATGTCCAGGAATTCTAGGCTTCACGTACCAACATTATAAGAATTATTTTGGTTTGATAGAAAAGAGTACATATTAAAATGTAAAGTTTTTCAAACTTTGGTTTTTTTTGTGTGATTGAGAATGAAAAGAGAATTTTCAGAAAATAGAATGGACCAATGAATTAAATAAATGAGCAAGCTTAAAAAGGAAAAACAAACGAAATAATAAGAAAGAGATAGCATTAAAGAATCAAGCAGTTAAGAAATGAGAAAATTAAATAAAAAGAATAACGAAAGCAAAAACAAATATAAAGCAGTTTTTAAATGGACGAATAACTTAAATAAAATGTAAGATTAAAAACGAAGAAGATGACAATAATGAAAGGATAGCGAAAAATAAAATAAAAAAAATCAAGCAATTAAAGAAAGAAAAAGAACACAGCAAATTAAATTGCAAAATAAACAATTCCCCGGCAACGGCGAAAAAATTGATGGACATTAAAGGAATTACAACTTTTGCTTGTAATTAGCAAATAGGAATTTAAGAAACCATAAAGCCAGATAATTCAAGAAAAGAGAAAAGAACCAGAAAGTATCTGCTAGGATTAATTCGCCTGAGACTGAACAAAGGACTGCGCCTAGTACCGAAGCTATCGCCGTTGTGGTAACGCCGGCGAACAAGAATTGAAATTGCTGAACAGAAAATCTGAGCTCACCGTCTCCGGAACGTTGTCGCAGGACGCCGAACCGCCAGAGCAGACTCGGCCGTTGTTCCGAATGGAATCGTTGTTGCCACCGCCAAACACCAGAAACAGACCGCCACCTATCGGAAGCCTCCAGAAGTGGTCCGGAGCCAAATTGATGAAGCCTTCTCTGATTTTGCCGGCATTTATACTGCTTGAACTCCAATAATTTTTCCATGTTCTGCGCTCCTCCTAAGCTTTGCATCATTTGCGATCTTCTTTCTCGTTCATTGGTTGTTGACTGACTTTGTTGAATGAGTTTCGACCAAAGTGAAAAAAATAACTATTTTCTTTAATTAAATAAAACACATCTAAAAACATAAGCAAATTAGAACCCAATAAAATCCTACCATTATTAAAACTCTATACTGACCAAGTATAACTATACTACTACTATTATTAGTTTTATTATAAAAATTATTACAAAAATATAATGTAAATAAAAGTGTAATAATTTAATAAAATAAGATAAAAATATAACTAATTAATAAGAATTATTAAATCAAACATTATGAAATAAAATATAAAAATTGCACTTATCAAATTTCCCCACACTTGTCCTCAAGCAAAGGCATTATTAAAAAGGAAAAGATAAAGAAGTTTGAAATAAAACCAAAAATAAAACCAACATTAAACTGAGCTTTACCCGAATAGCTTTTCAAATTTATTACCACCAATGCAAAGTTAGTGCCAACTGAAAGAATGTATAAAACATTTCACTAGAAATTAAAAACTTTAACAACTAAAATAAATATAAAACTTGTGCTCGTGTGCTGACACCCCTTATATGAGCTATACAAAATCTCAATAAACAAATATGAAAATTTCACCAAATTCAACATAAACCAAATTCAGAAATATTCTATCACTGTGCAGGTGCAAAACATGAAGGAAATAAGGATCAAGACATTTATTAAAATTGAAATGGAATTGCTCGTCTCTTCTAAAATTCACTCATTATTTTTCTATTTTGACTTTTTCAAAGAGAACTTCCCCAAAAACCTCGCCATTTTACGCCAGACTTGTTTGGGTTTTCAATTTTTTGTGTACTCATAAACCAGACCACGACACTTATTTATTTATGGTACATGTGTATAGGTGACTGATTCAGAGGAGTAGAATCTCTGAATTATTGCAAATAAATAAATAAAACACTCATTTTTATTTTTAAATATTTTTTAAATCTTTTTTTTTTTAAAAGATTTTTCACCTCACTTATGCCACAAAGATGATCCTTGAACCAACACACTACACCACAATTTATAGCACTCAAAAATTATTTAAGAATTTGAGAAAAGGTAAAATAAAATGAAAGATGCATATAAAGTACTAAAGAAATTGTATAGAACACATAAAGGGGTATTTGTGATTTTCAAATTCTATTTATTTTTTTATTTTTTTTTTTTGTTTTTTGATTTTTTTTGACAATTCAAAATATAAAGAAATTAACAACTAGTCACATGCATATACACACTAAGAGCGGACAAAAACCTGCATTATTTTTTATCACCGAGTATTTAAAAGACTCATAAAGGTAAAGCTCAAGCTAATGCTAGAATTTTAAAATAAAAAGGTTTAAGAAAATATAATAAACATAAGAAAATTAAAAAGTTTGAAATTAAAAAAGAAATTAAAAAAGTTAAAGAAAGTATACATAAGAAAATTAAAAAGTTTAAAATTTTTCAATTATTTGTGATTTGTGGGTAGAATCACTTCCCCACACTTATTTTCAACATTGTCCCCAATGTTGTGAGAGGAAAGAAAAGAAGACAAAGAGAGTCCTCCTTTATTATATTTTGTTTTTGTGCAATTTTCATTTAGTCAAGCAGTTTGAGAATAACAAGAATAACATTCTTTATTATCAACGTCATTCAAAAGATTTTCTTTTTGTAGTTTTTCAAACTCCAACTTACCATCCTCGGCAAAATTCAACCCCTTAACTGCAAAACACTGGTTAGCTCTATCAAACAAATTCATAGACATAAAAATTGGAACTGAATAGTTTCATCAAGCACATTTTTGGTCAATTTATCGTTTTGAACATCAAAAGGGATTGTGGGCAATTCTTTTTGTAGCACTACACTTACAGGCACACAACTTTTGAGCCTATTTGGAAATGGAATTGGCAGCACATAAGGCTGGGGTGGTACATAAAGCTCTTCTTCCTCAAAATCTTCATTTTGTATAGGGGTGGTTTCAAAGCTTTCATCAACAAGGATTGGGGGCACATAAGGATGATCAATTTATGCAATTGAGGCTCATTTTCAACAATAATATCAACATCATTATGCAATTTTTCAATTATTTCAATTTGTTTAGAAGTGATATTATCTTTTAACGTGCTTTCAGCATTCAGAGCTTCTTCAGGTTAACTAGGTAACTTACCTGGCACGTGCACTTGCACAAATTTAGCAATTTGCTCTAAATGTGCTTCTATTCTTTTAAAGCAAGCCTCATTTTCTTCAAATCGTTGTTCATCTGTTTCTTGGGGCTCAGAAGCTTCTTGTTGCATCTGCAACCATTGATCATGTTCTTCTTTTTGCTTTTGGAACCATTGATCATGTTCTTCTTGTTGCTTTTGAAACCGTAGATCATTTGCTTCTTGCCGCATATTGCAAGCCTGTATATAATCATTCAAGGAGTCCTCCAAAGATGGTTTTTTAGGTTGGGGTGGAGTTGGTTGAAAATCATTCTGACCATTACCCCAATAAAAATTAGGATGACTTGATTGATAATCATGTTGATTATCATCCCAAGAAAAATTAGAATGATTCAGTTGAAAATCATTTTGATTATAATCACAATGAAAATTGGGATAGTTTGGCTCAAAATCATTTTGATTATTCCCAAAAAAATTCGGGTGATTTTCCCAACCCGAATTATAAGAATTATAAAACAGGTCGAGCACAGGCTTTTGATTAGAAACATTAATTGAATTTGCCTGTACAAAATCATCATTATAAGAATTATTTTGGTTTGATAAAAAAGAGTACATATTAAAATGTAAAGTTTTTCAAACTTTGGTTTTTTTGTGTGATTGAGAATGAAAATAGAATTTTCAGAAAATAGAATGGACCAATGAATTAAATAAATGAGCAAGCTTAAAAAGGAAAAACAAACGAAATAATAAGAAAGAGATAGCATTAAAGAATCAAGCAGTTAAGAAATGAGAAAATTAAATAAAGAGAATAACGAAAGCAAAAACAAATATAAAACAGTTTTTAAATGGACGAATGACTTAAATAAAATGTAAGACTAAAAATGAAGAAGATGACAATAATGAAAGGATAGCGAAAAATAAAATAAAAAAATCAAGCAATTAAAGAAAGAAAAAGAACACAGCAAATTAAACAATTCTCCGGCAAGGGCGCCAAAATTGATGGACATTAAAGGAATTACAACTTTTGCTTGTAATTAGCAAATAGGAATTTTTTTTTTTTGAAAGATACTGGTTCTATTACATTGTAGTATCTGTTCATATACTTTCTCAACCTACTGAAACACAAAGAACCAATAACGCCTCCACTGAGGCTCAAACTCATAATCTTCCAAATGGAAGTCCAACCCAGGTACCATTAGACCACATAGTCCTGGTAGCAAATAGGAATTTAAGAAACCATAAAGCCTGATAATTCAAGAAAAGAGAAAAGAACAGAAAGTATATGCTGGGATTAATTCGCCTGAGACTGAACAAAGGACTTCGCCTGGTACCGAAGCTATCGCCATTGTAGTAACGCAGGCGAACAAGAATTGAAATTGCTGAACAGAAAATCTGAGCTCACTGTCGCCGGACGCCAAACCGCCAGAGCAGACTAAAACTCTATACTGACCAAGTATAACTATACTACTACTATTATTAGTTTTATTATAAAAATTATTACAAAAATATAATGTAAATAAAAGTGCAATAATTTAATAAAATAAGATAAAAATATAACTAATTAATAAGAATTATTAAATCAAACATTATGAAATAAAATATAAAAATTGCACTTATCAAGGAGGCTCTACTGTGTCAACTCACCGAGTTAATCTCGGCCATTTCGTTGTTGCCCGAGTGCCATACAGTCTCTAAAAAGATGTGCAGTAATTTGGTGCGCAGGGTGAAGCTTTTGAGTCCTCTGTTTAAGGATTGAAGGATAGTGATGAGGGAGATAAGCTCGGAGATGACGTCGTTTACGGGCTTGAGTTGTTGAGGCTCGCTCTTGGCTCAGCTCTAGAGCTTCTTCAATCAGTCCACGAAGGCAGTAAGATTTTTCAGGTATCACTTTTTACAGTTTTTAGTTTATTCTCTATAAATTTTTAGTTTGATTATCCCCTTAAGTTGCTGCTATTCATCTAATCATATGGTGAGTGAAAATATGTATAGGAAATTATAGATGCTTAAAATATAGCTTGTTGAGAAATGAGAATTGGAATGAATTCCATTTTCTATTTGCAATTTGCTTGTGGTTCGTCCAGAGATAATCCCATTTTCCTCCATGAAAGGAGTCAAAGGATGTTTGTTTTAGGAATAAGAGTCAAATTAGCCATCGAACGTAACGTGAAAGTGTAATTGGGCCACTCAACTAAAAAAGTGCAATCAGATCATTCAACATAGTAAAATCATGCAATTTGTCCCAAGTGACCTGCAGTGGTAGGTTACCAACAAGTAATTGATTAAGTTTTTTTAAAAAGAATTAAAAATTATTTCAAAACAAAAGAAAAAAGAAAAAGAAAAAAAAAACAGGGGGTCTCCGTCAGAGAGGGGACAACTGGTTCCGGCGAGGCAGAGCAGGTGGCGGTGGATGGCGAGTGTTCCCGGCGAGGTAAGGCAGTGCACAGTAGCGGCAGTTCGGCGTAGGCAGTTTCTGGCGGAGCAGTGGTTCCCGTCTGCAACAACATCCACACAGCAGTTCCAGCGATGGTTTCTCCTCCGGCGAAGGCTTGATGCGGCGACCTCTGGTCTTCTTCCGGTACTGTTGTTCTGCAAATCGCCGATTGGCTGGCGTTGCGACGGTGGGCGGCGACCACGAGGCGAATGGAGACGGCGACAACGACAGCAGTAGGATGTTTGGCCATGGCGGTGGTGCTACTCCGATCTCCGGCTCGGTTCGGGGTGGTAGCGCTGATGGCGGTGTTTTGGGTGGGAGAGAAGGCTGAGTGTTCGATGGTGGCAAAGCTTTCGGCCGGTGACCATGGATGTCAGCGTCCGTCTCTCTCTCGTTGTTGGTGTTGCGTGAACTTGCGTCGGTGTTTAGCTTAAGTTCCATGGAGACGATACGCAGATCTTTTTTTTTTTTTTTTTTTTTTTTAATAATTACCTGTTGGTAACCTACTAATGCAGGCCACTTGGGACAAATGGCATGATTTTACAATGTTGAATGGTCTTATTGCACTTTTTTTTAGTTGAGTGGTCCAATTGCATTTTCACGTTACGTTCGATGACTAATTTGACCCTTATTTCTTTGTTTTATAAATTCTGGTTCGGATTTATACGCTGAGTAAGAAAAAGACGATTTTATCCCTCGAATTAACAATCACTTAACCAGCACTTGACGGAAGGACCTCAATTAGAAAAAATTTAATAGTCGGATGGTTAAATTGTCTAAATTAAAAGACGGGGACTAAATGTGGAAAATTCAACATACTTGGGGGGACCATTGCTGGAATTAACTCTAAAAGAATGACTAGGTCTCATATACCTTCCCCAAATTGGACCAAACATATCTACCGATACTCCTTGAATTGACAGAAGTGTAGGACATCTATTGGTGAAAAAAATAAGAATCATAATACTAGATCTAGTAAAGAAAATGATCATCATTCTCTCCCTTATCTCTATTTTGGATATGCTCTCAACAAATTAAAATATAAAAAATATATCATTAAAAAATTCTAATTAAGTTCTTTTAGATAACACTCATATTAATATATTTATTTTAAAAAATAACTATATAGGTATATAAAGTCATTACTTTATTGTAATGTTTATGTACATTAAACTTTGTTTTTATAAATATATAGAAGGAACTTTATGAACATATTATAAACTGAATGAGAATATATTAATGGCCCGGTTTGGTAAATGACTGTTAGCTGATAGTTGTTAGTTGTTAGCTTATTGGGTCAATTAGAGGGTATAACTAGTTGATAACATTAGCTGATTGTAGAAAGATGTTTGGCAAATTAGCTGATAGCTGATAGCTGTTTGGTATAATTTCTTTTTCTCAAAAAGCTAATTGAAAAAGTTGCTTTGAGCAGTTTTTTGAATTTTAGCATTTTGGAGTTATAAAAAGCTAATTAACTAAACATTTATATTAATTTTTTAACCAAGTCAAACAATTAATAGTGGTCAAATAAGCCAAAATTGACATATAGGCTAACTATTTTACCAAACAGGGCCTACGTATATTTAGTTTAGTATTTGTAGACACTAAGGTTTAGGTTTATGGACATATATAACAAATATTATGAACATAATACAAGATGTATGTTATTAAACATTATGCCGTATGTACATTAAGTTTTGTTTTTATGAACATACAGAAGAAACAGTATTAACCTATTATAAATTGAATGTAAATACATATAATGTATATTTAGTTTAGTATTTATAGACATTATGATTTAGATTTATGGATATATAAAACAGAAAATAATGAACATAGTACACGATGAATGTTATTAGACATGATGTGTCTTTAATATATAATGTCTATGTACATTAAGCTTTGTTTTAACGAACACATAGAACATTATGAACCTACCATATATAGACTGAATGAAAATACATATGATATACATTTACGTGACGCTTGGTTTGTGAAATACATTGAGAATATCATTCTGTGGAATAAATCTATTCCGCTGTTTGGTTAGGATTTTTCAACAAGGAATAGAATTCAGCGAAATAGCCTATTCCCTTTGCAATGGGTATAGTGATTCCCAAGGCCCCCATTGTTATAAGTTATTCCTAACCATTTGGAATAACTATATTTTTATTATTTCAAAAATACCCTTAAAACACCTTAATAAATACATATATTACCAAGTTTCTTTTGAGTTCGGTTCGATTTTTCAATTAAATCGAATCGAAACCATTCATTATAAAATATAGAACAATTTGGTTTTTTAATAATAAACCAAAACCTAACCGTTCGGTTCGACGTCACTACAGTGACCGCAGGGCAGGGTGGTTGCTCAGAGATTCTGCTCGACCACGTGTATCTAAACTCGGCTGCTAGCCAAGAATCACTGGCCCAGATGGGGACATCAGGGTGTCCGGGCTGCCCGAGGGCCATTAGGTGGATCTAGAGGATGAAGATGCCAATCAGTCCGCCAGCCTAGAACGACGAAAACGCCCGATTGCCAACCCAGAGGTGCAACTAAGAACCCGCCGGCCAGCTAGGATATTTTGATAGGACTTTAATGAACTAGATAGCCCCCCGCCCTTTTGCAATATTAATGACTCCTCTTCAAACTGGCCAGCCTCCAGGCCGACTACCCACTTACCAACCATCTTCCACACAAAGACCCTAGCATGACCATCCTACCTTTGCGAGAAAATGACTTAGCCTTGCCCTTACTAACCATCTCCTACGCTTGAGGAAGCGTGGTTAACCAATTTTTGTGTCCCGTCAGGTTTTAACCTATCTTCAATGCCAAACATGCGTGGGGCGGCCTGGTCGCCCGGCTAGCCGCCAGGACGCCTGCAAGCCCCTTCGACTACTAGGTCGATAATCCCCCTCCTTTCAAATAGACGCTTGAAGAAGCATGGTCAGCCGGCCTCGTCGCGAGGGGTTACTGGTCGGCTCCCGACCCATCTGAACGCCATGAATGTGTTGTGTGGAACAGCCTAGTTGCCCGACTTGTTGTCAGGATGCCTGCACGCCCCATTCGACGACTAAGTCGGTAATCCCACTCCTTTTAAATAGACACTTGAGGAAGCATGGTGAACCGACTGATAAGTGCCAAAATGTGCTACTTTTGTGGGGGTACTTGGGAGACATATCGTGCTATAATTGGAGTCTTTTGAGCCTATTTCATGCTTAGAATAGCTTATTTTGATAAAAAAAAAAAAAGGAACAAGGACTAATTGTGGTTGCATGTGTAGAATATAGCAAAACATTGACATTTTTAGGGCATTTCGGCGACAATTTGGTAATTTGAACATATCTGGAACTAGGGGTGTCCAAATGAGCTTATTTCAGTGGCATTAAAACGAAAACTCAAAGGAATACAACTTTTTATGAAGACCACAGAGATTGATTTAGGCGTCTCTCAGCCACGATGCAACTACGATCGTGACAACATAGTGGCAAAACATCTGAGAGTTGTCACGAAATTTGTCACGCGCGTGACTCCCAGTCACGATGGGTGCGAATTGTTTTTAAAAATCTAATTGGGATGATACTAAAGGGGGTTAGATAAGATTTTTAGGCATCAAATCACTTTTAGACTTTTCCCCATTATATTAGAATTTTTTCTCTCTAGGTTAGTTACACTTCTAGCTCAAGCTCTCTCTAATCTCTCAATTTTCTAGAAAGAGGAAGTTCAATTATTGTAGGAGGAATTGACAACTTCTTCATTGATGATTGAATGAAATTTCTATTGAGGTAGGTAACTTCATTGCATTTAATTCTTCTAATTTCCTCCATTGATTGCTCAATTGCTTTTGTTATTCAATCTAGATCAATAATGCTTGTCTAGAATCTTCATGTGAATTGGATCTTATTTCCTTGTGTTGTGTATGAATTGATCAAGGTAGTTGTGACTATGTGTTGATGTCTTGTTGGAAGAGGAATGCTTATATTGACTCTTGTGTGTGAAGTGCACCACATGCATGAAGGTTTAGGAAGGATTATGATTGCAAGAGATTGATGCATAATCCTAGACTCCTTCCCCTTGAAATTCCCGCCCTAGATTCGAGAGGACAAGGTCTGGAATGGGATGTAGACAACATGTTTGATTAAATACCTCATAGGGAATGTTGACCCTGAGGTGCTACATTTCCCTATGATATGCCTTAGAGACCAAAATTGGGGCTAATGCATTAGAAGTCATCTCACATAGACCTCAATTCATCACATAGCTTCACTTCTTACCTAGGTTTATTCATTTCACATGATCAAGGGTAGGCAATCAAATTCACCTCACATCCTCTTTGTTAACTTCGTTTCTTTGTTTGCACCTTTACTTACATTGCTCTTCACCTTTTGCAATCCTTACCATGAACCTTCATAACTTTCTAGTGCAGATGTCTGATTGTGTTTGATAATACAACATTCAATTCCAAGTGTCCATCCTTGTGAGGACGACATCCCGGGAATCTTCATTCCCAACCTTCTTTCCATCCATCGCTTAACTACCACACGTCACCGGCCTTGTTGCGAGGGGTGACTGGTCGGCTTCCAATTCTTCTGAACACCATGAATGAGTAGTGATGGACGGCAATAGTAGACTTGCAATTTTAGGGAAACAGATTAAACGAATTCTATTGTGATGTAACTAAGTAGATAGTTTGGTAGTCGATTGCCTACATAGTGTGCTCAAATGAAACATGACTACTGATAAAACCTTTTCAGGTGATGTGTGTTCCATATATGATCCACTGGTCAGCTTTCCATGGTCTCTAGTCGGTAAGTTCCTTGGTACACGATTGCTGCGATATTGTAGGGGCATTCGCACTTAGCTGCCAATTTTCCTCCCTTAGTCGGTTGATTGGTCCCAATCTCTTGATACCAAGTTGCCCACTTGAAAGTATCTTAGTACTGCTGGACCTGCAGGTACTCGGCCATTCGGGCATAAGCAACATCTCTCCTTTCTTCTAAAAATTTCTTCTCAATCTGCATGCTCTCTTCGTTCCCTTCTTCATACTATAAATAGAACTCTCTTGGTAGTTCTAAAATCATCAAAAAACAAAATGATCTTTCTTTTCTTCCTTCCTCTTTATTAATTCCTGAACAGTGTTTTGTGCATTTCAACTTTAATTAATGAGTGCAACAATAGAATAGTTGTGTAACCTTGGGGAACAATGTCAATATATATATATATATATATATATATATATATATATATATATATATATATATATATATATATATATATATATGGCCAAGTTCCAGTGCGGCCAAGCCTTAACCTGCAGTCAGTGCGCCCACACTATTAGGTATGAAAACACACACCAATAGTGTTAGTAAATGCACAACAAAAGAATGCACTAGTGCACCAAAAAACGCCCCATTAGGTACGCATCACTAAAAAACGCACCATTAGGTATGCATAGAAGCACCACACAATTAGGTGTGGGAAGGTATGATGCATTTTTTCGGGTGTGGTGCGTTTTGTGGTGCATTTGTGCATTTTATTGTTGTGCGTTTTTACACACCTAATGGTGCGGCTGCACCGATCGCACGTTAAGACATGGCCGCATTTGAGCTGACACGTGAACATTGCAAGGTGGAGACAGTTCCACGATAACAATTGGTGCAATCCCTATACCATGGACTAGGATTCACATTGAGGACCCTGGTGCATGTGTGTGTGTTTTTATTTTGTGAGTTTTTGTGTCCTGTGTTATAAAATTGTGTACCTTAACAGGGCGTTTGGTTGGAGGGAATTAGAATTCCATTCCCACTTAATTCCCACCTAATTCCGAAGGCAACTAAATTCCTTAGTTTGGTTGGAGGGAATTGTAATTCCATGGAATTGCAATTCCTTCATTTTCATGGAATTAGAATCCCACGCCCCCATTGGGATTTTAATTCCATGGATTTTAGGAAGAAAAAAGAAAGATAATCCTGAGACAAAATTACCCCTCCCTTTTTAACCTAAAATTGATGCCTGACTTTCCCTTCTAGATAGTAACGTGATTCTTCTTAGACTATTGTCAATAGAGAACGTTGTTCCTAAGCAATAATCATTCTATGCCAACCTTAATCAAGTATGTTTTCTCAAAACTCTCAAGTATTTAAATTTGATGTGTGTATATAGTGTATTTGCCTAAATTTTGAACAACAAAATTTTCATTTTGTGCGCCGATGGTGGGTGTGTTGTATAATGTTCATTTTGTTCGCCGATGAGTGGTATTTGAATTTAATATGTTATATTTTTTTTTTTTTTTTGTGTTTGAATATGCAAATGGGTCCAAGAAATACTTGTCATTTAAGATTATTAACAACAACAACAACAATAGGTATTTTGGACTTTATACTACTTATTCCCCCTCAATTCCCATGTATACCAAACATTGGAATTGAAATTTCCAGTAATTTTATTCTTGCAAACCAAACACTGGAATTTAAACTCCAACTTTATTCCCACATTATTCTTTTCCCATGGAATTACAATTCATTTTCCACCTAATTCCTTACCTCCAACCAAACGTCTTGTAAGAGTACGAATTATGTACCTGAAACAAATTAGAAATTTGTACTTGAATTTTTGTTTCTTGTGTTGTAAAATTATGTGCCTATGAACACAAATTGTGTACCTAAATTAGATTAGAAAAATAAGTAAATATATAACATGTGTATGTATCTTGTTTTGTGTTTTTGTGTCTCGTGTTATGAAATTTTGTACCTTATGAGTATGAATTATGTACTTCGCCGTTTCGATCTAGATCCAAAATGCTATGTGGGAGTTGTTATACCATGGACCAAGGTCCACGTTACAAGGTGGACCCTGGTCCAAAACAACGTATAAATTGTGTGTTTTTAATATTAGAATTGTGAACTTCTAGAATATAACTTGTGTACATAACAACTGTAAAAGAGAATTTGTGGATACTATACAAGGTTACCAAATCCTAAGATGTTAATATTGTATGACTGCAGTATTGGAAATGAACTTGTGAATACAAAACAATGTAATGAATTACATATATGTTAACATTGTGCGTTCGTAGTATACAAATTATGAATTTTTAAAAGGTAAATTGTTAACATTTAGTACGTAAATTATGAACATTTAGACCCGAGTCCACTTTACAAGGTGGACTCGGGTCCACAGAATAATTTGCGGCTACGTGAACCTTGATCCATAATATAAATTGCCATTGAAGTAGTTTTGGGCTCATGGGAAATTTTACTATGGGCCTAATTTGTGGAGAATGGAGATGAACCTGGATATAATATCATTTGAGTTTAAAGTATCTTTCGTTAGCTAAGTTTCGAGACTTTCTCATTCCAAACACATTAAGCAACATGTCTAAGCAAGTCTTGGGACCTTTGGGCAATCATTATACCCTGCACCACGATGCACTGTGCACTGTACTTCTCGCGCCTCCCAAAAAGACATCGTTTTGGGAGGCGTGGTAGGAAGTTGACATGATCATGTATATTTGTTTATACAATTATGTATATTTTTTATTATGTACATTTTTTATACAATTATGTACAATTTTTTTTATACAATTATGTACATCCGAATCAGGAAATTTTTGTGTATTATGTTAAGAGTTGATGTGTATTATGTTAAAAGTTTATGTTTATTATGTATTATGTTAGATTATGTGTATTATCTTTTAAAAAAGAGTATGTGTATTTTGTTATATAATTATGTACATTCATGTATACAATTATGTGTATTCTAGTATAACATTATGTACATTTTTTAACATGAGATTTTTTTTAAGGAAAATTAACTGCCAAACACTGGGTAGCGAAATTTAAAAAAAAAAAATTAAAATGACGGCATTTTGCATCTAGGCACACAATGCAACGCGCGCCGTGGTGTAGGATATAAATTGCCGCCTTTAGGAGAGCAATTTGTAGACATAAAAAGATTGGAAACTACACATGGACTGATAAAACTAGGCAAATTATGCCCTGGACCCGTGTCCACATTGAATTGTGGACACGGGCCAAAAACGACGTCGTTTTTTAAAAAAAACGCGTCATTTAGTTAAAAAAAAAAAATCGCGCGCGTTTTGCCGTTAACGGCGTTAACGGCGTTATTTTTTTTTTTTTGGATTATGAATGTACAGTTATGCCGTTATGAATGTACAGTTATGCCGTTATGAATATACAGTTATGCAATTATGAAATTATGAACACAGAGCTCTAACATTATGAACTTACAATTATGAACATATATAATGATAAAATTATGACCATGGAGCTTTAAAATTGTGAATATAGAGCTTCGAAGATTATGAATGTACAGTTATGGAGTTATGAATGTACAGTTATAGAGTTATGAATCTACAGTTATGGAGTCATGAATCTACAGTTATGAGATTATGAATCTACAGTTATGGAATTATGAATGTACAATTATTGATCGAATTATGAACAAAGAGCTCTAACATTATGAACTTACAATTATGAACATATAGTGATAAAATTATGAACATAGAGCTCTAAAATTGTGAACATAGAGCTTCGAAAATTATGAATGTACAATTATGGAGTTATGAATGTACAGTTATGACGTTATGAATGTACAGTTATAGAGTTATGAATGTACAGTTATAGAGTTATGAACGTACAGTTATGGAGTTATGAATGTATAGTTATTAACATATAGTAATAAAATTATGAACATATACTTCTATAACAAAGTGGTCTGAAATTAAAAAAAAAAAAAAAAAAAAAAAAAAAAAAAAAGAAGATAACAGTGCCTAACGGCACTGTTACCCGTGTCCAGCAAGCATGCTGGACACGGGTCCAAGGCATAACGATTGATAAAACTATTATTGGGCCTTACTTTGATATTGGTTATTGGGGTCATGACGTAGTGTTGGGTTAAAATAATTGATTTGATTTTTTTATTTTTTTTATTTTATTACAAAGGAAGGGGAATACCCATACAATCTATGCCTACAATGAGGCTCAAAACCTAAACCTCATACATAGAGGAACAATCCAATACCAATGGACCACAAGCCACTTAGTTATAATTGATTTGATTTGATTAGCCAAAATAAACTTGATTTTGGGTTGTTGAGAAATAATTTGATTAAATTATATTATATTTGAATTTAAATAATTATAATTAAATTGTCAATTACCCTGTAATGTAATAGCATCCCGGTTAACATTCTAAATAGATGGTCATATGTTCAGCCCAGATCAAGGTCCACCCCCATTTTATTAACACTTGTTGTAATTCGATTATCATTTTTTTGTTGTTAAATATATACAAATTCCATTTTCGTGTTTACAGAATCATAAAAATCTAAATTTTCACTTATTCCTAAAACATCATAAGTGATTAAAAGTAGTAATCTAACCTAATTACCTAAATACGTATCATGGGTTACTGTGGATGTGGAGATGTTTTAAGTGTCCAAAATGGTATAACTTTTCGAATAAATTTAAAGAATACGAGTCAAATAGATTATCGAACTACAAATGAAACTACACTTGTGTCATCTAACTTAAAGAAAATTACAATTGAGTCTTTGAATAACGCAAAATCATGCAATTGAATCTAAAATGACTTGTTTACCCAGTATATACAACAGTTATCATATTAAAGAAATTATTTTTTAAAAATTAATTTTAATAACTTTAAATAAAATAAAATTTAAAAAACAAAAACTCACCCACACCCGCTCCTTTTTCTCCATAGTCCATAGTATAATTTGCCCGAAAGCTGGGGTGGGTTTTTGGTTGATTGTTTTTTCTTTTTCTTTTTTTTTTAAAAAATTTTTTTTTTATTTATTTAAAATTATTAAAATAAATTTAAAAAGAAGCGGTCCCTTCGTATACCATGGTTCATAGTATCATTTGCCCGAAGGGTAGGGGTGGGGTTTTTTTTTTTTAACAAATTTATTTTATTTAAAATTATTAAAATAAATTTTAAAATTTTTTTTTTTAATAAGGTAATCACCACATCAGCAAATATCGGGTAAACAGATCATTTTTTGGATGATTTTGCATTATTCAAAGATCCAATTACAATTTTTTTGAGTTGGATGGTCCAATTACAGTTTCGTATATAACTTGATGATCTATTTGACTCTTATTCCTAAGTTTTTACAAAAAAAAAAAAAAAAAAAAAAAAAAAAAAAAAAAAAAAAAAAAAACAAACAAACAAACAAAAAAAAAACAAACCACAAAACCTTATATATTCCTCAAGTCATTACAAAGAGTATGGAAAATAAAAGAAGGGCCGGTATCAAACCAAAACCGACTACCTAACGATAAACTAGCATTTCTAGCTAATAAGTGAGTCACAATATTAGCAGAACGCTTTACAAAACAGAGATTAACATTAGAAAACAAAGCTAAAAGACTATTAATATCACAAAAAATTAAACCATAAGGTGAATCATTATTAGTATGCAATTGAGTAACAAGTTATTGAGCATCGGTCTCAATAAGAACACCATCGTAAGCCTGATCCTTTAACCAGCTCAATGCCTCCCGGACAGCCAAAGCTTCAACTTCTTTTGGTAAAACAACTCCCCTTTTTTCCTACAGCTCCAACTGCTACGATAGTGCCCATATAATCACGAAGTACCCAACCCAGTCCAAGCATATTCCGATCCCCACGAACAGCTGCATCAACATTTAATTTCAACATATCATGATTTATCGCCTTCAACATTTAATTTCAACATTGCATTTCCCAACGGTTGCTGCCTAACCCTCCGCCATTCTCTTAAATACCCCAAGGAGAGACGAACCACCTCTCTCGGATTAATGCTAATTCCCTGCCAAAGCTTCTTATTTTTCACCTCCCAAATACCCCAAAAAATAAGAATAAGATGATATAACTCACCTCCCGTAAGGCATTTAAAACATCCATCTAACGATTCTCGAAACCCATCCTCATCCCCCACATCCCAATTCCACCCATAAGCAGCCTAAACCCGCACAACATAATCACAATAGGGTAAAATATGAGCAGCAGATTCCCTCACCACCCCACACAGTGCACACACAATACCACAATTAAATCATTTTAAAGAAAGTGCCAATTTAGTAGGTAACGAGGCAGTACAAACACTCCAGAAAAAACATTTAACATTTGGAAGAATATGCATTTTCCACATCCTAGTCCAATTACCTCTGTGAACCCCATCTCTCTCCCCAACTAACAAACGATAAGCACTTTTGACCGAATAATTCACATCCCCTTCCCCATCCCAAAACACGTATCAACCCCTTTAGAAATAGAGATATGAACCTTTAAAATCAGCTGCTTGTCCATCTCTAAAAATAGATCATCCAAAATCTCCATATCTCAATCATTCAATTCAGCATTCATAAGACTATCCACAGTAGCATTTTGTAAATGATCAAAAACAAGAGTAGTCACACAAGGATTAACCCGGGAGGGCAACGACGGATCACCCCAAACCCGAATGTCACGCCCAGTGCCCACTCTCCATCTAACCCCCTGACGAATCCTAACCCAAGCTTCCCAAACACTCCTCCAAACATAAGACGGGTCCTTCCCTAACTGGGCAACATAAAATCGCTACCAGGATAATATTAACGAAACACCCTAGGCACTAACGACTCCCTAGTGAGAAATATCCACCCCTGTTTACTCAGCAAAGTAACATTCATGTCATGCAATATCTTAAACCCCAGTCCTCCTAACTTCTTAGGTATACAAAGATCCTCCCACCTCTTTCATCTAATACCACCCCTTCCCTCCCTCCCCTCACACCCCACCAAAAGGAGTTACAATGTCTCTCCAAGTCAGCACAAAGCCCTTTTGGTAGTAAAAAAGAAAAAAAAAAAAAAAAAAAAAAAAAAAAAAAAAAAAAAAACCTGCATAGCATTGTTTGGAATAGTTCGAAGGACAGTTTTTAACATAATTTCCCGCCCTTCCCTAGACATGTACCTATTAGTCCACAAACCAATCCTACACTTTATTCGTTCTTTAATCCACCCCAAAATGTCATTCTTCCTTCTCCCCACCAGCCCCAAAAGACCTAAATACTGCCCCCCTAGAGTGGTACTACGAACTCCCAACTCATTACACAGAACATCCCGCTCTTGCCAAGTTAAGTTCCGTCCAAAACTCACTTCAGATTTATCAAAATTTACCATTTTCCCCGAAGTGCTGCCAACACACGCAACACCTCCCTAATAACCATAGCTTCCATATAATTAGCTTTGACAAACAAAAGAAGGTCATCAACAAAGCATAGATGGGAAATAGAAGGAGCCCCTCTAGCAATTGTAACCCCATGGAGCACACCCCCTATTCCCTCATCCTTAACATACTACTAAACCCCTCCATCACTAACAAAAAGGGATAAGGAGAAAGAAGATCTCCCTAGTAGAGGCCACGACTAGGAATAATAGGTCCCTAATCCCCCCCCCCCCCGCCCCCCCCCCCCCTCCCTCAAGAATAACGTGATAATGAACAGTGTTAATACATTCCATGATCAAAGAAATCCAAGAGCAATTAAACCCCATCCAAGACATAGCCTTCCCAAGGAAATCCCACTAAACCCGATCATAAGCTTTACTCAT